TCTTGTGATCATCAAGACTATAAGCCTTATATTCCTTCTAAACAGAAGGATAACCTAAGAAAACACATTTGTAAGGTCCTGGAGAAAATTTATCCTTCTGAGGATGTGTGTTAGTAATATAGCACAAACATCCAAAAGTTCTAAGGTGACGGAGTATAGGAGGTTTACCAAACAAGAGTTCATAAGGATTTTTCCAGGATAACAAAGGAGAAGGTAACCTGTTAATGAGATAAGTGGCCGTAAGGACTACTTCTCCCCAAAATTTCTTTGGAAGAGAAGATTGAAACATCAAGGATCTAGCAATTTGCAGTAAGTGTTTGTGTTTGCGCTCTACAACACTATTTTGTTGTGGTGTATAAGAGCATGATTTTTGGTGCAAAATTCCAAGAGAAGAAAAAAGGTCTTGACAGTGGTGATTAACAAACTCACTGCCATTGTCTGTATGAATAGTTTTTACTTTGGTATTGAACTGAGTTGCAACCATGGAAAATAAGGTTTGTAAAACTTGCGTAACCTCAGTTTTATGTCTGAGAAGTTGAGTCCAAGTGGTTCTACTGAAATCATCAACTATAGTTATGAAATAGTGAGTGTGTGAGATATTAGGGTGACTGTAAGGTCCCCAGAGATCAACATGTAAAAGCTGAAAGATAACAGTAGATTTTATTGAGCTGTCTGGAAAAGTAAGCCTTTGTTGTTTAGACAAAGGACATACATCACAAGTATCAACCTTCTGAACTTTACAATCAAGAAGTTTATCTAGATGTTTCAACACAGGAAATGAAGGGTGACCTAATCTGTTGTGCCATTGAACAATTAAGGCAACAACATCATTATTACAGACTGTATTAATAACAGAACTGTCTAAAGATCTCATAAACATTCTAGGAAAATGAAGCTGTATGGAATATCTAATATGATCAGGGTTGAAAGAATCTTTAATGAGTGCATAGAGTCCTTTGCACACCATTCCAAGACCCAAGACTTTATCATTCACGAGGTCCTGCATGATGCACAAATCAGACAAGAATGAGAAATAAAGTCTGGCAGACTGTGCAAGCTTCCTAATAGAAATATAAAGGTTGGGACATATAAAGCATTTTCTAGAGTGATCCTATCATTCAAACGGACTTGTCCTTTCTGTTGAACATATTGTATAGAACCATCAGGAAGTTTGAAAGGGAATGTCTACTGGCTTGGAATTGTGAAACCAAGAAAGAGTTTGAATCATATGCCCAGTTGCACCACTATCAAAAAAGCCAAGATCATCTTGATGAACACTGTTATGTAAAGGAGCATAAGTGGTACTACCTGCAAAATCATTGATGTGAGCAAAATTAACATGATGCTGATTGTGATCCACCTGAACACCTTTGCCTTATATCAAATTATTGAAGTTTTGCTGAATCTGGTTAATCTGCTTAGTCATTGCACTCCAATCCAATGTTGTATCTATCAGTTCCAAAGGTGTTTCAATCTCAACAGCATGAGCATAATTTTTGTTGCCATGATTTCCATTACTGTTACCAGCTTTCTGTTTCAATTCCTTCTACCAATCAGGTATCCCAAAGAGAATGAAGCAACCTTCCTTAAGATGTCTAGTTCTGTTACAACGTGTACACAGAAGTTTAGATCTCTCTTTCTTACTTAGCCAGTTAGTGCCTGGTCCAAGATTGTTCCTCTTTTCCAACTACATTTGTGGTCTGGCCAACAAACATGTTCCTGCATTATTAAAACTTGGACCATTTCCATAATTGTTCCCTGGAAGATTAACTGAGCTGCCTGATGAAATCATCTGGTTGATATGATTAACAGAATTCATATTCCTTACAAACCATAGTTGCCTGCATTACTAACAATGAATGCACTGTTCTTAGAGTTCAAAATGCCACCTGTAACAGGCCTAAGTTGCTTCTCTACTCTTTGAACCATAGCATATTCCTGATTAATCGTAGGAGGTGGATCAATCAATAGGATTTGATCCTTAACCGCTTCATACGACTTATTTAATCCCACAAGAAAATCAATGAGTTTATCTTCCTGATCTCTATTCTGTAAAATTCTTGCAAGATCAGGAGTACAAACAGGCATAGGACAATAATGCTCATATTGATCCCAGAATCTTTTGAATGGATTGAAGTACCTTATCAGTGAATTATCACTTTGTTGCACTGCAATCCTTTCCTTCCTCATGTTATACAGCTTATTGCAGTTTGCAGTGCCATATTGCTCTGCCTAATCCTCCCAAAGCTGCTTTGCCGACATCGCATACATGTAGCTATCGGCGATTTCTCTGGAAATTGAAGCCATAATCCAGGACTTCACCGTAGAATCTACTTGCTTCCATTTCACATGCAACAGAGAATCAGCCGGCGGCTCAGGACAACTACCATCAATGAACGGAACCTTCATTTTCGATTCCAATGCCCCACGCATGGATCGACTCCAAGCAAGGTAATTATTCTCATCTAGAGGAACAGAAACTAGAAAAGACCAGGATGTTTAGAAGAATGTAAGGTAAGAGTAGCTTCTAGAATTCTCTGTTCTTCAGCTAATCTCTGAGCTGGAGAGAACTCAAAATTATCCATTTTCTCAAATCAAATCAAAGAATTGAATTGGTAGAAATCAATCGGTAGTATAGAAGAAGGTTTGTATGGTTGCAATTCAGGAATCAAGAGCCTATGGCTTTGATACCATGAAAAGCTTACTAGGGTTAGCCATGGCGGAAGTCGAAAGTAGTAGAAGAAGATAGAAGTTTTCTAATTTGGGAAAAACTGATTTTCAGTTGTATTAATTTTGCTTAACAAACAAGCTATACAATAATTAGTATTTAGACTAACTAATCTAAACCTAATCCGACATATTTACTCAGCTGGAAAATACTACTCTTATTTACAGTAAATCCATGTCAGCATATTTACAAATATGCACATGATATTCACAAGACTTTTATTCCAACTGAAGCACCTCTTTCATCATAATCTGATCAGCATCAAAGTCAACAGAATCCGGCGACTGAACTGCCTAAAGTTGTTGAGGTGGATCATCTTGTTGGAGAGGTAGCAGATCCTGCTTGATCTCGTAGAGTATGTAACAAAGAACTGCTGAACCATATCCATAGTCTCTCATGATTTTATTGAGATGTATTTCTCATCGATCCCAAAATGATTGTCTATTTTGATTTTTCATTTATAATATAATTTATATTAAAAATGGATAATTCAAAATGGATAATAATTTCGAAATGAAAGGAGTAGTTTAACATTCTTATACTTTTAACTCCATAAATATAGTTGAAAAACAAGCGCTCGTTCAATTGAGTTTAAGCTTTAGTTCAGTGTTAACAAGTGTACGGAGGACAGTATAAAACCTTGGAAAAAGGAAATAATGATTGATTGTGTTATGGTAATGGGTCTTTTTCAACTTCTGTTGACAATGGTAATTGGCAAATGCAAAACGACAAAATGTAATCAGCCTGCGTTTACGGAGTCCACAAAATACAGTACTCCTTTTCTAACTTTATCCAAAATTCCTCAGGTTTTTTCTTTGTTTTCTCAAGAGAGAGCTAGCTTACTTCCTCCACCGTTCTTACCAATGGATGTGTTGATTAATCAATTCTAAACAAAGAGTCGCATATAACATGGATTTTAGAGGGATGGAGTTTTTCTGTTAAAGTAAAAAAAGCAGGATTTGAAGAATCTAAAATATTTTTGTATGATTTGATAATTCATAATTCTAGAAACCAATTAATGTTGGCCATTTCCAAAAACAAAAGGTTGTGTATGCAATCATCATATGATATGAACGCTCAAAATTATCTCTTACTTTTTGTTAATCATATAAAAAAAAAAGAACTATATATATCTAGAATTAAACAATAGGACAAACATGACAATTTTAACTGGAATTGCGGGAGATTTTTTCTTTTTCCTTGTACTAAGAAATGATTAAATTCTGTCCCAATCAAGTATCCAGCCGACCTGGGTATCTAATAGTACGGGGGCGTTGTGTTCTCTTTTGCACCACTTTCTTTTTGTCGAAAGATTGAGAAAATCTTTCATATACTGGTGTACCAGGTAGGTTTGTGTAGCAAGACGCATAAATAGAGTAATATTATAATTTTATTGGAAAAATTACCACAATATTAAGGGACCATAATATTTTTCTGTATAATAGATGTAATGCTGCACTAAAAAAGAGATACACTTACTGTATAAAATAATTTTCCTGAAACATTTGCCCAATCATTTATCTACCTTTCTCTCTCTCACACACACACTCACTCAAGAAGATAGTTCGAGAGGAAGCTTGCATGAAAAGATGAATTACTTCAACATACTTACAGTTACAGTTTCATTTACCGCTGTTTTGGGTTTTCTGGTTTGTGCATGGAAAGTATTGAATTTCATATGGTTTCAGCCCAGGAAACTCGAGAAGCAGCTCAGAGCACAGGGTCTTCTCGGAAATTCCTACAAACCCATCTCCGGTGACTTGAAAGAATTGGTAAAGTTGATGAAAGAAGCTAAATCCAAGCCAATCAGTCTCTCCGATGATATTGTGCCCCGAGTTATCCCTTTCTTCGTCCAGACCATCCAGAAATATGGTATTCTTTGATTCCACAATCTTTTTCATTTTCCTGTCCTCTGCTTCCAAGTGTTGCCTGAAAGCATGGAAAGATTGTGCTTTTACTGCTTAATTTACTTCAACAAAATTGACCCCTTTATCGACTGCTGGATTTGATTGAATTGGTGTTACCTGCAAGGGTGGCAAGATTGTACCTTTACTGCTTAATTTTCTTCAACAAAGTCGGCCCTTTTATGGATTGCTGGATTTGATTGAATTGTACAAGAAATTTATGCATTTCAGGTGTTAATTCATTTGTCTGGCTTGGCCCCAAACCTTCAGTCATCATCAAGGATCCTGAACTTATGAGGGAGATCTTGGTCAAGCCTAATATCTTCCAAAAGCCTCTTTCTAATAATCCACTTGGTAAACTGTTGGCTCAAGGCCTAGTTGTAGCCGAGGGTGAAAAGTGGACCAAACACAGAAAGTTAATCAATCCTGCTTTTCACTTGGAGAAGATCAAGGTAGCCTTTTTTTTTTCTCAGTACCTCTCAGTATGACTAATTTTATTGTTTCACACGAAGTGTATTCTTTAAATTTTTATAAAATTGTTCTGGGACTTCTTATATTGAATCCTGTAGCTAATCAATTTTGTCATCTTAGTTTTTGAAACTACAAAAATTGATTACCAAGGATTAACAGAATGAATTTTGCAATTGATGTTCTTTGCTAAACATTGACATTTGAAGGTAGAACTAGAACTTGCTGTTGTGCTTGTAGCCCGCATCACTGATTCTGTTTTTTTCTGATTGTTGCTATGAATATCAGCTTATGTTACCAGCTTTCCGTTTGAGTGCTGAGGACATGTTAAAAAGTTGGGAGGAAAACATTTCACCACAAGGATCTTGCGATGTAGATGTTTGGCCATCCCTTCAAACTTTAACCAGTGATGCTATTTCTCGCACGGCCTTTGGTAGCAACTATGAAGAAGGAAGAAAGATATTTGAGCTCCAAGGAGAACAGGCAGACCATGTTATGACTGTTTCACGATCAATATACTTCCCGGGTAAAAGGTAGAATTCAATCAAAGGCTAAGCAATCAGCTAGTTATGATATACACATGTAATGAATCAGTAGGTTTTGATCTGTTGATTTGTTGATCCGTTAGGTTTCTTCCAACTAAAAGGAACAGAAGAATGAAAGAGATAGAAAGAGCAGTTAAGGCAACAGTCAGAAATATTATTGACAAGAGGATGAAATCAACAAAAGCAGGGGAAGGCAGGAAAGATGACTTATTGGGCATATTGTTGGAGTCTAATTTCAAAGAGATTGAACAACAGGGTGGCAAAGAGTTTGGTATGAGCATAGACGATGTTATTGAAGAATGCAAACTCTTCTATTTTGCTGGCCAGGAAACCACTTCAACATTGCTCGCATGGACTTTGATTCTGCTAAGCAAACATCAGGACTGGCAGTCGCGTGCTAGAGATGAGGTCTTGCAAGTTTTTGGGAGGAAAGAAATTGAATTTGATGGCCTTAACCAGCTCAAAGTGGTAAGTATTGCTCGCTGATTTATATTTCCTGTCAACAGAAGAAAAGGTTCCACCTTTCAGAATACTTCAATTTTTTTTATTTTTTTATTTTTTTGTTATCTTATCCGGGGTTAACACTTAAAAATGGTAGGCCTAAAGTGAAGTTCTCATCAAGTTTGAACCTCAAATTTTCATGAGTTATATTTTCATCACAGGTGACAATGATCTTGAATGAGGTTCTAAGATTGTATCCATCAGTGGTGGTGCTTTCAAGAGGACTTAAAGATGAAACAAAAATTGGGAACTTCAATCTTCCAGCCGGGGTGTTAGTCTCACTGCAAGTATTGCTGTTGCACCACGACACTGAAATATGGGGCGATGACGTGAAAGAATTCAATCCAGAGAGATTTAGTGAAGGGATTTCGAATGCAACAAAGAGCCAAGTCGCGTATTTCCCGTTTGGTTGGGGTCCCCGGATTTGCATCGGACAGACCTTTGCCATGACAGAAGCAAAATTAGCTATGGCGATGATTCTGCAGCGTTTCTCTTTTGAACTTTCCCCATCTTATACTCATGCTCCTCACACAATTATTACACTGCAACCTGAGCATGGTGCCAACTTAGTATTGCACAAACTTTAATGTTATGAACTAAGATTTCTGTTGTAAAAATATCTTCTATTCGATCTTCAAACTGATTTACACTATTAAGAGCCTCACGTTATGGTCGTAATAGTTTGACATAATTGGCCAAATATCTCAAGTTAATAGTAATGTTATTAACCATCACTCGCAGAAAGAAATGGTGTTCCGATGTCGCCGAAAGGAATCCAAAACTACCAGTCTCGAATGAAGATTAGTTTCAAGACGATATTTGTTAATTTAGAATTACTTCATGGTTCATGTACGTAAAGAAAAGAAATGGTATCCAATGTTTGAGGCCTCTCAACTGTTAATAAAACTACTAAATCTTCTGTTACCCCCAAACAAAAAAAAAAAAACCTACTAAATCTTCATATTGAATGGTGTACATTGTCAACAAATTCAATGCATCATCTCCCCCAATAATGGAATGATATCTTTTATCTCATTTATCATGAATTTGTTTAGCTCTAACGCAAGATATAATCCTCGTGATAAAAAAAAAAAATTGCGCGGTTTTCATTAATGATACATGCTTGGTAGGGAAGGAAAAAAATTTACATAGAGAATCTTTACTTCCTCAATATATAGGCAGCCGGTATGGTTTTCTCCACCTTGATTTACACCAGTTCGGTACCGAAATCACTCCATCCAATTCCATCAGCTTGGTAAAACAAGAAAACATGAATACCTTAATCCCGGTTTCAATTTTGGTAGCTTTTCTCGTTGGTGCTTGGAGTGCCTTGAAATACTTCTGGCTGAGGCCTAGAAAGCTAGAAAAGATTCTTCGAGCACAAGGGCTAGTCGGAAGTTCCTACAAACCACTTCTTGGTGATTTGATAGAGTTGCAAAGGGTGACTGAGGAAGCCGTTTCCAGACCAATCAATCTTTGTGATGACATTTTGTCCAGAATTGCACCTTTCTTCCTTCATGCCACCAAGAAATATGGTATGAAAATCTTTGATATAAACTGTAATCTTATTTGTACCTTGTGTTTTGCCTTAAATTAATGATTTGTTTTGAATTTTCATCATGTGTAATTCTTTTGTTTATTTATGTCTTAGAATTAGGATCCGAAGAAGTATAAAACAAAAATCAAAATATTAATTTATACAGATTCTGATAATCTTCGGAAGTTTAACTTTTTGGGCTTTGGTATTGCAGGAGCAAATCCTTTTGTTTGGTATGGACCATACCCATTGGTTATTATCAAAGATCCAGAGCTGATGAAGGAGATGTTGCAGAAGCATATGATTTTTCAAAAGCCTACGGTTAATCCGCTGGCCAGATTGCTGGTGGAAGGAGTTATTATAGCCGAGGGGGATAAATGGGCCAAACACAGAAAAATCGTCAATCCTGCTTTCCATCTCGAGAAAATTAAGGTATTTTATTTCTATTTTCATTATCTGAATCTCAGGAAAGTAATAAGTGACCGAAAGAAATGTTTTTTTTAATTAATTAATTTCTTTTCATAATTTTAAATAAAGTTCATATAGTATATGGTTCGTAAAAGTATGTGGGAAATAGGATTTTTCTCAACCAGAGATTTACCGTTTACGAACAACATTTTGGTCAAGAGATTTGGTAGTAAATCATTTATCATTTATTAATCCATAATAAAATCATTTTAATGGACTAATTCACTGCTAGTCAGGTTATTTTTGCATTTTATTTAAACAATGTTAATATGAAAAAAATCTAGGATGTTATCTTCCTTTTTGACCTTCAAGTCCTTCGCAAAAGAACATAATTCACATTTTCTCTTTCTGTTGTTTTTTAAAAAAACAAAATTGGAAATTTCTATTTCGTTTGTAAATTTCATCATAATCCAGACTTCAGACGGATCAATTTGATGATTAGACCTCTCAAAATATTCAATCATGGCGGTTCACTAAAAGTTAGTACCTCCTTTTCACTAGCATTGCTACTGAATTTGTCAAAGAATTGTAAGAAAATTCCAACCAAATTAAGAGTTCTTCAATTCCTGTTTTTGCATGAATATCGCCTTTTAATCCAACATTATAGTGAGACAATAACTATGACTTTTATTTTGAGACTGACGCACTAAAGGTATTTGTAAAAAAAATGAAATCGGTACTGATTTAATCATAATTATTTTTTTCTTTTTTTGGTTGTAATGAAGCTTATGCTGCCAGCTTTTCAAGTAAGTGCAAGTGACATGATGAGCAAATGGGAAGAAAGCCTTTCCTCAGAAGGGTCTTGCGATTTAGATATCTGGCCTTCTCTTCAAACTTTAACGAGTGATGTGATTTCAAGAACAGCATTTGGTAGCAATTATGAAGAAGGAAGCAAAATATTTGAGCTCCAAAAAGAACAGGCAAATCATATCATAACAATCGGTCTATCATTAACAATTCCAGGACTAAGGTAACCAAAACATAAAAAAGAATCCAGGGCTTTCCAATTAGCTTTCTTAACTGTGTCCTCAATTAAGTCAATTTCTTGGGTTGATAATGTCAATGTTAAAACTTTAATAGGTTTTTGCCCAGCAAGAGGAACAGAAGAATGAAGGAGATTGCAAGAACAGTTGAAGAACTAATCATGAACATAATTGATAAGAGAGTCAGGGCAATGAAAGCAGGGGAGCCCAGTAAGAATGACTTGCTGGGAATTTTACTTGATTCCAATTCCAAGGAGATCAAAGAACAAGGTCACAAGAGATTTGGTTTGAGCAATAAAGATGTTGTTGAAGAGTGCAAGCTCTTCTATTTTGCTGGACAGGAAACCACTTCCACATTGCTTGTTTGGGCTTTGGTTTTGCTCAGTCAACATCCAGACTGGCAGTCGCGCGCTAGAGAAGAGGTTTTTCGGGTTTTTGGCGATAAAGAGGTTACTTTTGATGGCCTGAACCACCTGAAAGTTGTGAGTATCTTCTAAACTCTTCACCAAAACCGTTACATTTCACAAACTAACAAATGATTCATTTCGTCCCAAAAAAGAGTTCGTATTTGTTAAACTGATTTTAGTTTAACAAATTTCTTGCCAGTGATAAGATTAGAGTATGATTGCTCATGTTATTTACAAATTGTAGTAATTGTGAGTGGGATAATATTTCTGACAATTCTGAATTGGTTATTTTGTCACAGATGACAATGGTTCTGAATGAGACATTAAGGTTATATCCATCAGTACCAACTCTCACTAGAACAGTCATTGAAGATACTACAATTGGGAAGTATTTTCTGCCAGCAGGTACATTGTTTTCGTTGCAGATAGTACTGATGCACCGCGACCCAGAAATATGGGGCGACGATGTAAAAGAGTTCAATCCAGAGAGATTTCGCGAAGGTGTGGCAAATGCAACCAAAGGGAAGGTTGCATTTTTCCCATTTGGCTGGGGACCTCGCACTTGTCTCGGGCAAAACTTCTCGATGATCGAAGCGAAATTGGTGATGGCGATGATTCTTCAACGCTTCTCCTTCGAGCTGTCCCCGTCTTACACTCATGCTCCGCACGCGGTGATCACACTTCAACCTCAGTATGGTGCACAACTGATTTTGCACAAAATATGATGTATTGGTTAATTACTGCAGGAGAAAATGTTCTCCAAGCTGATGTGCCGGCTGTGACTGTGTTACTTTTAGTTCCAAAATGTTTACTTTATCTTATTCACTGAAGAACAAGTTTCGAAACAATGTAAATTTTATTTTCGTTTGTTGCTTGTCTGGTTTGACAAGTTATTTTACCACCAAAATTTGGAAGGTATTTGGTGGTGTAACCAAAATTTGGAGGATAAAATGTAATTACCTTTTTATTATCTGGTAAAACCTATAAGGTCCTCAAATGTTCAATATTTCCAAATTTTACTATGTAAATTATTTCTTTTCAGATACAAAAACGTCGAAAAGTCTCAAACAATAATTAGCTTTGGCAATGATTGTGCGGCCTTTTTTTCGACCCATATTCCATCTAACCCTCATGCGCCTTACTCAAACAATAGGCAATTTATATGGTATACTTATCTAATTAATAGAATCTAATTATTGAATAAAAAATTAATCAAAGTATAATTAAATTGAGTTATTCTCTTTTATTATTTGATTCGCATATCATGTTTTCAAATACAAAAAGAATAATATTCTAATAATTTTATAACTCTCTCTTCCATTAATAATTACTAACATAAAATTATGAAGGAACTGTGATGAAGCGAGAGATGTGATTCCAAAACTGTATTTCATTGTTTTAACTTGTTCTTTGTTCTTTTGGTGCTAAGAGATACTGCAATGAGAGTATAGTGATCAGTCTTCTCAACAAGCAGCCGTAAAAGATTTATTTTTAGTGCTGAAATGGATAGATTCGCACAAATATCCTTTTCTTTTTTTGCTCCACCCTCCCTCGTTTTTTTCTATACTGTGATCAAATTGTTATTAGACGGTTGTGCATCGAAAAGTCAACTCTACTAGAACCCCCCCCCCCAAAAAAAGCGTGGTGGGGAAGAGCATATTAGTTTTAAGACTCAGAACACAGAGAATCTTTGCGTAATCGGTGATTATTATTTGTACTCCATGACTAGGAGCATAGTTGGAATTCATTTTAGCCTAAAATACCACAGCGCCCTTTTTGGTAGAAACTGCTATATTGAGTGACCTTTGTTTGAGGCCAAAAATAATAATAATAATAATAACAATACTTTAAAAATTATGAATAATTTAAATTTAAACAAAAAAAAATCATGAAATTTCGATATATGTCATGAAAAATATTATCCGTGAATATCTTAAAAAATGAGTATGAACTTTGGATATAAGAATTCATAAATCTCTTATTAATATTTTTATTTTCTTCACATAAAAATTTGCATAATTCTCATTAATATTATTTTATATGGGTATGAATATGATCTTTAGACTTCTTATTTATATTACTTTTCCAGTTCTCAAGAAACAATTGTGAAATTTAGATACGCATGATAGCAAAAATATGATTGGTATTCATGAAAAGAGTATAAATATTTATTATATACATAATTAATTTATTGAAATTTCTCCAATTTGTATGAACATTTTGCATGATTTTCATGAATAGTCATTGTGTATGTATGAATAGAAAATGAAATAGATTACAACCTTTTACAACCTTTTATTTGTGATTATGTGTACAACTTTTTAATCAAAATCTATGAAATTTGTATATATTTGGTATAAAAAAATATGATTATTATTTTGAATTTTCATTATATGATTATGAACCTTTAGCTTTTCTATGAATAGTATTATACTAATTCATTAATATTTCTTTCTTTTTGAATTTTTTTAATCACATTTTGGCTTGAATATAGCATATATGATTTTAAATATGGAAAAATGATCGACTAATTTAATTGTAGTAATATTTTAATTAATCATTTATTTCTTAATAAATTTTATTAATTAGGCCAGTGTACCATGTATGGTGCAATTCTTATATGGTGCTCTATGGTTTACCACACATGGTGCATTGGTCTAATAAATGAAATCTATTTAAGAAATATATAATTAATAAGAATATTACTAGTATTAAATTAGTCAATTCTCTTTCCATGTTTAATATCATTTATCACATATTCAAGCCCAAAACGTAATCTTAAAGAAAATTCAAAAACAAAAAAATGTTAATAAATTAAATGGGAAAATGGGTCTTTTCATCCCAAGGTTTGGGCCATACCATTCAAAATAGGGAAAATGGGTCTTTTCATCCTAAGGTTTGGGCCACACTATTCAAAATATTCCAAAGTTTAAGAGATGTTATTTTCATCCCAAACTTTTCGAAAACATGCAATATTAGGATTTCCGTTAAAATTTTTAAGTTAATTAACCGCAATATTTTATTCCGTTTCCTTTCCCAATTTTTTTTAAACATTTAACTAGATTTTCTAATTCCTGACTTATAAGAAAATATCTAAACCTCATTTGGTTTTCATTTCTCCGGTTCTTTCTTTGCTCAGAAATTAAAAAAAAAAAAAAAGAAACTCCAAGATTCGCCATGGCAAACAAATGTGCAGGTGGCTCAAATTCAATTTTGAGGTCTTGCTGCAACGACAAGAGGTTTTGGGGTTCTCAGATTTTTCTTTCTTTTTTTTAATCTATAGCATCAATGTAAAAACTAATGTTGTAATTTGATGTATAGGCTCCCGAAGGATTCAACTTCTTCGCTTGGCATGATCACAGCTGTAGCCATTATTCCAGTATTGGTTCGGAGATTGAACGCTGCTGAAGAAAGCAATCGAAGTTATCATAATTGCGGTTTTGGTAGAGAAATCCAAAATTGAAGCATTGGTGATGCCTTTAAGGACATCTAATTGTTGTCCACTACGTGGATAAACATTTTGTTTAGTGATGTAGTGGAGTGCACCATGGTGATTGGTGATGTAGTATTTTATTTTTCTCCATAGGGTGATCAAGATAGTGCAAAGTTGTGCTAGGTTGTGTTGTTCAATGTTGATGTTTGTGATGTACTTTGGTGTTTATTGAATAGAAGAAATTTTTGCAAATTATTGCATCTTCATTTTAATCAAAGAAGTATAAAACTGATGCATTTTCACACCATAAATAAGTGTTACTGATCCCAAACATCATCCTTGTGCAAACCATTAAATGTACCAAAAGTAACAAAGCATTTGGACACATAACACAAAAACTATCACAATACATTGATTATTTGGACTTAGCAATGCCTTTTCCCTATCCACCAGTATGTTACAGCTGCAGATTGAATTGGTGCAGAAGCATTATCATTTTGGTCTGTCACGAAGTCAAAAAGATGCATCCAATCTGGAACACGCATGCCATTCTTCAAAAGCAAACCTATGTCTGGTTTGTAACGATCTGGAAGTGTCTCTTTTCTCCCTTCATGTTTATCTAAGTCTGAGCACAACTTTGCATTAGATTTAAGTGGCTTCCTTGTGTTTGGCAATTCACTTGCTATCATTTTTTCAGCACTAGTCTTCTCATCAAAGAATTTTGAACTAGACTCCTCTCTCATCCGGTTAATTATGATTTCTGGGATTTTGGCATCAGTATTCTTAACTTGTGACATGCTCAAAACCTGGAAAACAAACCAACCAATCATTCATCAGCAAAACACTCCTAGCATTTATCATTCATCAGTGCACCACAAGAAGCCTAAACATCAACATAGAATTAACACTAACACAACAAAAATTTGAAACACTTACGGTGCTAGTTGGACATTCTTGATTCTTTGAAACTTCCACAGGAATGAGTTGTACTTTAAAATATGGTTACTCATATCAACTGGGGGCTCGTTAATGGTACTGAAATCAGGCATTTTCACTCTTACCTTCTTTCTTTGCTCTTTGGGATGTGATTCCTCATTTGCTCTTTGTTTGCGTTTTTTCAAGTTCATCCCCTTTTGATTGTGATTCTTTTTCTCCTATAAATTACCAAAATGTGAATAACATGTTAAAAAATTGCACATAATTATAGAGAAAAATATAAGAGACTTACATCCCTCTTTGGATCTTCTTGAATCTTTGAAGTTTCAGCATCAATGGAGCCAGACATTAAATTATGTTCTTCATTGGGTTCTCCTGCAACCTTATTTTGGCAGGTCCTTGCATTGTACCCCTGAACATTACATTTTCTGCACTTTATCTTACCACCACCCCTTGGTAAGCTATGTTTGTATCTCTTGCCTTGATTTTTTCCTAAGCGTTGTGGGTCTTCCAGGTCCTCTTTGCCACAAAGGGGGCAAAGAAGGTAGCTCTGAAGATTTTTTCCATTCAGTTTATCCATTCATTGGTAAGATGCATGGATCATAGCACCTTAAATAGGTCTCCACAGAGTAGCATTGATCAACATAGCTCATTGTAGTTTCATTATTCAACCAAATAGCTGCAATTGCGTGTGGACATGGTACACCGCATAATTGTCACTTTCTACAGCTACATTCTTTATTTCTCAAGTCAACCGCATATCTTGATTTTTGATTATCATCATTAACTTCAAAAAGAGACTGGTTCATTTTGCGAGGATGACATCCAAATGCAAGCTTCTCATAACATTGAAGTCGCTTGTAAATTCTGGGACAAATCGGTTTACTCTTCCATTTCTCAGCTGCCCATTCTCTATTTTCTAATGCTCTTTGCTGGACATATTTCTTGAGACCCTCAAATAGATCAACTATTGGCTTTCCTCTAGCTTCTACGATCTTGCTATTAAAACACTCACAATGGTTGTTCAACAGTATGTCACAATTGGGCGAAGGATTAAAAAAGCCTCTACACCACTGACTTTTAGGCTTATCATGAAACCATTGAACTGCTCTGGGGTTCAACAATTCCATTTCTTTCATTCTAGCATCAAACTGAGCTTCAGTAGTAGACTTCGCAGCATTCCAAAGAGCTCTTCTGAGTGCATGTCCTCTAAATCCTTGTTGCTGCCAATTCGCATGAAGATATTTGACACAAAACCTGTGATCAGCTCGTGGGAACACTTTTTCACACGCATGAATTAAACCCTTCTGCTTATCACTCATCAAGGTCCACTCAAAATCAAATTCAATTCTCAAATCACTTTTGAGAATGTTCAGAAACCACTCCCATGAGTCATTGTTTTCTCCTTCAGTTACTGCCCATGCTATTGGATAAATTCCGTTATTAGGATCAACGCCTACAGCTGTAAGCAGAATACCTGTATTTGGACCTTTCAGAAATGTCCCATCTAACCCAATAATTTTTCTACAACCATTTAAAAAACCTTCTCTAACCCCATTAAAGCATATATACATTCTCAGAAATCTACTTTGTCCTGTACATGGGTGAATAAAATTTGGCTCCATAAACAGCAAACATGTGCTTCCGGGGTTGCTTCGAAGAATCTCATCTCTGTAATCATATAACTTCGAGAAATGGTCCTTCCGGTCACCAAAAGCAATCTTACGTGCCACATCTCTAGCTCTCACAGCCTGATTCTCAGTCAACCATAAATGATGTTTGGTCTGTGCTTGTTCCTTAAATGTCTTGGCTTAATATTAGGATTTTCCTTCAAAATATCAACACACCTTAGACCCACACAAGTGTGTTTGATAACAAATTTAGTTATCCTAACTGAATGATATGTTGTGCTTTTGGTCACATACATAAGCCAAGGACACTCAGGTTCAGGACAAAAAGCACTAGCCCTTCTATCATCCATTTTCTCAAATCTCCAAGGTCTGGCCTGAGCAATATTCCAGCTCCTTATGACAATTTTAGCCTCTTCCAAACTATTTAAGTATAAACCACAATATAGGTTTGGGTTGAACAACTCCTTAGCAGGATCTAAAGTTGAAGAACATCTTCATTATCCTCATCTGATCCATGTAAACTAGCAAAGTCATCTTCAGAATCTGGTACCACTTCACCTTCCCCATCACTATGAGTCTCTTGCTCCCCAGCCCCTGTATAAACAATCTCAAGTTTATCCTTCTCCTTGTCTTTTCCGTATTTTATACCTACGCCACAGCTGTTGTCATTCATTTTTCCATTTTTCAAACCTTCTCCACTACCAATATATGGCACAACTACCTTTGATTTTGATAAACTGGCCACAAAATCCACATAATATTTATCATCATCGGCCTCATCATATTCAGAATCCTTTTCGCTCCAATCTTCAATGCTACATTCTGAATCACCACTTTTATACTCTCCTGTTTTATCAGTTTCTTACCCAACACCTCTGAAATTAGTTTCATCTGCATCGTCCAGAGCATATAAGACCACTAATCTATCTCTTTTTAAGGAATTCAAACATAAGGTTCGAAGGTTTCCATCATCTTCTATCTTTTGTATTTCATCTTCATTACTTATATGATACAAATGGACCATTCCATGTATCCCTAACCGCTCAACCATGCAATATACATCCATAAGAGTGATGGTTGTCAACCTTACCTTATCAACCATAGAAAAGTCTCCACCGTAATATATAGGGGTTGGAGTTGATATAAGTTGACCCCCATACTGGATTTTAATACTTTCTAGATTCTTGTTTCCTGGACCTGAAATGTAAATAATAGGACCATGCTTATATAACAATCAACGATAATAAAGATGATCACTAATCAGGACCACATTAGTGATTCTTTAATTGAACAGCCATGAATATTTGATTGAACCCACCACTTACTTTCTCCTACAAAAGACCCATCTTTTAGACACTTAGAACGGAATCCCTTTTTCCTAAAACAAACATTGTCCACCATTTTTAGTCAAATGATGCAATAAACTAAACAACATTCTATACTCCCCTTTTAATAACAAACAAACAAACCTAAAGAAGTTTTTCTGTCCTTTTGCTCCAAATCTAAAAATTAACAATCGTCATCAAAAAAGAAACAAAACTATTTTGGGTTGTCGAGAAACTAACGATAGGTACGAATGCCTTCATCATTTAGCTCTTTCGCACGTATCTCCCACATCAGATGTTTTGAAATTAGATCTCAGTAATAATTTCTCAATTTCTCAATATATGATTCATCTCTTTGAAACGATCCCCCCCCCCTCTAGCGCCATAAACTCGCGCCAAATTGATCAAGCCCCAGACTGGAATTTTTTGACAAAAAAAAAAAAAAATTGGGGGAAGAAAACGGAATGAAGTATCGTCGTTAATTAACTTAAAAATTTTAACGGAAATCCTAATATTGCATGTTTTGGAAAAGTTTGGGATGATAATAACATGATCTTAAACTTTGGAATATTTTGAATGGTATGGCCCAAATTTTGGGATGAAAAGACCCATTTCCTAAAATTAATATAATTTTATTCATACAAAAACTAAAGATTCATAATCACACACTAAAAAATTCTCGAATGATAATCATATTTTTCATACCAAATATATATAAAATTCATAGCTTTGATTACAAAATTATACACCTAATCACAAATTAAATGTTTTCATCTGTTTAATCTTCTGTGCATATACTATGGTTTTTCATGAAGATTATGTGAAATGTTCATATAAATTGGAGAAATTTTAATAAATTAATCATGCGTGCAATAAATGTTCATACTTTTTAATAAAATATTCATGAATAACACTCATATTTTTTATATTATGTGTATCCAAGTTTCACAAATTGGAGAAATTTTAATAAATTAATCATGTATAACTATAAATGTTCATACTCTTTTCATGAAATATTCATGAATAACTGTCATACTTTCATATTATATGTATCCAAGTTTCAAAATGTGTTATTGATAATTGGAAGATTAGTGCAAATAAGAAGTTTAAAGACCATATTCATACCCATATAAAATAATATTCATGAGAATTATGAAAATTTTTGTAGAAATAAAATAAAAGTATTGATAACATATTTAGAAATTCTTATATTCATATTTCAAACTCATTCTATGAAATATTTATGAATTAGAACAATATTTTTCATGACATATATATATATATTAAAATTTTATTATTTTTAATTAAATCTAAATTGTTCCTAATTTTCAAACTACGTTAGTAATTATAAATATAAGAAAGAGTTACAAAATTATTGGAATATTTAATTTGCATTTAAAAGCCTGATATTTCATAATTAAATTTAATAATGGTGAAAGAGAATGAATAAATTTAATAATATTTTAATAAATTTTTCATTCAATAATTAAATTTTATTAATTACACAAGTGTATTATATATATATGGTGAACCAGGTTCACAGTTGACCATATAGTACACACCTATAAGAATTGCGCACAATAATTACACTGAGACCTCAACATAGCATTGCTCAAACTTGAATGTTATTCATGAACTGCGATCTTTGTAAACATCTGGAATTCTGGATGTTTCAAATTCATGTAACTTATTGCGAGCGTCTCGTAACAGTAAGAATGGCAGAAACAGAGCCCAAATGTACCAAGTTAACGTTAGCAATAACATTGAATCATGTCTCTCTTTTCTCCAAAATCCAGATTACATGAATTTAGAATCTGTGGCCTCATCACCTACTTTTGAAAAATTTCCATATTCAATAAAGTTGAATCTAAATACTAATCAACAATCACGATTTGACATAGTCTACACAGATTCAATGCACTATATTCTCTCAATCATGGATGATCTTTTACGCCATTTATTGTGTTTGTGTACAAATCTATTTATTACTCAAAATAACATCATTTTATTTATTCATCGTAGACATAACTTAGAAATGCATAGTTCTTGATATTTATAAAATTGTCTTGTCATACGTAGTTCGTAGAAAAAAAATTAACATATATATAACCTCATTTCCTCAGTATATATAGGAAATGATTTATCCCCTTTGAATTACACCCTTACAGAAAACACTCAATCATTTACATCAGCTTGTCAATACTAGAAACATGATGAATACCTTATTTTCTGTTTTCTTCTTGGTTGCTTTTCTTTTTTATGCTTGGAGAGTCTTGAATTATTTCTGGTTGAGGCCAAGAAAACTAGAAAAGATTCTTAGAGCACAAGGGCTGGTTGGAAGTTCCTATAAACCACTTCTTGGTGATCTGAAAGAGTTGCAAAGGGTGACTGAAGAAGCCATTTCCAAGCCAATCAATCTTTCTGATGATATTTTGCCAAGAGTTGTGCCTTTCGAATTTCATGTCACCAAGAAATATGGTATGAGAAGCTTTTGCTTAGACTGTAATGTTATCTTGTATCTTGAGTTTAATCTTAAATTAATGAATTTATTTTGAAATTTCATTATATTCTATCCGTCTAAAAATTATTGGTCAATTAAGATTTTTATGTTTAGTTTAATTTGTTTATATTAAAAATAAAAATTCGAATTGGATAATAATTCGAGAAACTTTGTTTTACAAACTTTTAGGTTGGATGTAATGATCAGGTGGGATGGTTCTGTTCTAATTTTGTGGTCTTTGAAATTGTAGGAGGTAATCCATTTATTTGGTTTGGGCCAATCCCAAGGGTTATCATCAAAGACCCAGAACTCATGAAAGAGATGTTGCAGAAGCATATGATAGTTCAAAAGCCTGCTTTTAATTCGTTGGCCAAATTGCTGATTGAAGGAGTTGTTACAGCGGAGGGAGACAAATGGGCAAAGCACAGAAAAATCGTCATTCCTGCTTTCAATCTCGAAAAAATTAAGGTTTTTTTTTATTAAGAATATACACCTATTTTTCTCATTATATAACTTGCACCAAACTAAAAAACTTTCTGTTCTTTCTTCTTTCAAATGTTTTTTTTTTTTGAAAAAAGTTTTATTAAGATTAGTCTATTGAATTACAAAAGAAGTAGGTTCACTCCATAAAGTTTCGATTACTGAAACAGACTTAGCATATCTAGCAGACTAAGCATCTTTTGTCATTGAGGAAAATGTTGAGTAGTATTGGACTAATTTATGCTAGTAATGAAATTTTTTATTTTATATTAAACAATGTTGATTTGAAAATTTCAGGATGTTATCCCTTTTAGTAACCTTCTCAAAAGAACACAATCACCAATTTTTTGTTTAATTGAAATCTCAATTGCATTAAGATAACCCTTCTCGCCCAAGATTGAATTCGATCCTAAACCTCTCAAAACTTTACCGGTAGGAAGACGTTTCCTCTAGCCTTACTTTAATGAATTGCAGTCCAATGGCACTCCCTCCTTTTATGAACCACTTTTATTACTCTCTAGTGTCAAATTAATTATTCAGTTTATATTTTCATTATTAATACAAATTGTACTAAAATTAAAAACTAAGCAGGACAATATTTTGGAACAAGAGGGAATATAGTAAAATATATCGACAAACATGACTCTTATTTTGAAACATTACAACATTTGTAACAAGTAGAAGCAATACTGATGATTATTATTTTTTCCTTTTCCTATTTGTGGTTGCAATGAAGCTTATGCTGCCAGCTTTTCAAGTATGTGCTAGTGAAATGGTAAACAAATGGGAAGAAAGCCTTTCCCCAGAAGGATCTTATGATTTGGATGTCTGGCCTTCCCTTGTAACTTTAACAAGTGATGTGATTTCAAGGACAGCATTTGGTAGCAACTATGAAGAAGGTAGGAAAATATTTGAGCTTCAAGAAGAACAGGCAAAACATATTATAACAATTGGCCTATCATTGGCAATTCCAGGACTGAGGTAATCCCAGATATTTGTTGACAATGATTTCAATGGCTTTCTTAATTGTGCCCTTAGTTGCTTGGATTGGTAATGATGTTAAAATTTAATAGGTTTCTGCCCACCAAGAGGAACAGAAGAATGAAGGAGATTGCAAGAACTGTGGAAGAGTTAATCAGTAACATAATTGATAAGAGAGTCAGAGCAATGGAAGCAGGGGAGCCCAGTAAGAATGACTTACTGGGGATTTTACTTGATTCCAATTTCCAGGAGATTAAAGAAAAAGGCCACAAGAGATTTGGTTTGAGCACTAAAGATGTTGTTGAAGAGTGCAAGCTCTTCTATTTTGCTGGACAGGAGACCACTGCCACATTGGTGGTTTGGTCTTTGGTTTTGCTCAGTCAACATCCAGAATGGCAGTCGCGCGCTAGAGAGGAGGTTTTTCGAGTTTTTGGCGGAACAGAGATCAATTTTGATGCCCTGAACCACCTTAAAGTTGTGAGGATCCTCTACATTCTTGATTGGAATTTGACATTTGGCATTAACCGATTACTCCTTTCGTCCCAAGAAAGAGTCAAGCTTATTGAACTATTTTAGTTTAACTAATACTAACAGCAACTTCTTGCAAGTGATGACATTTTCTGACAATTTTGAACCGGCTGTTTCTTCACAGGTTACAATGATTTTGAATGAAACCCTAAGGTTATATCCATCAGTAGCAGCTCTCAGTAGAACTGTCATTGAAGATACAAGAATTGGAAAATATTTTCTGCCAGCGGGTACATTGTTCACATTGCAGATAGTCCAAATGCACCATGATCCAGAAATATGGGGCGACGATGTGAAAGAGTTCAAGCCAGAGAGATTTAGCGAAGGCGTGGCGAACGCAACAAAGGGGCAGCCTGCATTTTTCCCATTTGGTTCAGGACCCCGCATTTGTCTTGGACAAAACTTCTCAATGACTGAAGCCAAATTGGTGATGGCAATGATTCTTCAACGCTTCTCCTTTGAGCTTTCCCCGTCTTACACCCATGCTCCATATACAGTGATCACAGTTCAACCTCAGCATGGTGCACAGCTAATTTTGCGCAAACTGTGATTCAGTGAATTCATTATTGTTGTGCAAGAAGCCGATGAACCGGCTATTACTTTTCGCTTCCAGTACTCGTACTGTTCAATTATTATAATTTACAAAATGTTTGGTTTTGTTATTTGCCAAGCGAAATGAGTGAACGGAAAGTAATGTGGTCATCTACAAGATAGTCATATAATTTCGTTCGTCTTAGCGGTAATGCAAGAGATAATGATCAGTGAGATCAAATGGTAAAAGGCTGCTATCATGCTGACATAATCAATGGAATCCAGATCAATACACTAATTTGGAGTTTAGCAACAATCATTTAGGATGTCTTTTTCCATTGTCGTGCATCCGTGCAATATTCTTCCTTTTCATTAGCTGTTATAAGAAGCATAATTGAACTTTGATGCGAAATTTGGTCTAAAAGTGGCAAAAAGTGTGGAGTGATGGGATTTTCTTGTGGTTGCTTTCAGTGAATGGATACAAAAAGCTTAGTGCTAGTTGGCTCTTATTGATATTGTAATGTTTGTTGAGGTATTGGAAACTGCTTCTTTGTAAGCCATTAAACCAATATCTATATATTAAAAAAATCATTAACAAAAAGCTTTTCTCTCTTTTTATTCTCAAATTCCAGCGTTTTCTACTTCACAATCCAACAGAATCTAATAAATTAATAGGTTGATCTCCTCCTTTTTTAAGTGTCTATAGTAGTGAAGTTACATGGGTTCAGAGTGTTTTAATCTGAAATAGGATGAAATCACAGAACAAAACATGCACAGCATGATAGTGTTTTCTTGCGCTGCGGCCATTCTCATATGTGCATGTAAAGTGTTTTACTTCTGGTTTTATAAGCCAAGAAAGCTAGAGAAATGCCTTAGAACACAGGGTCTTCGTGGAAATTCCTATAGACCAATATATGGAGACTTCAATGACATTGACATGATGCTTAAAGAAGCTAAATTGAAGCCTATCCATCTCTTGGATGACATCGTGCCGCGAGTCATACCTTTCCACATTGAAACCGTCAAGAAATATGGTATTAATGCCTGATTATGATGATTTGAAAAGATTGGCTATTTTCAGTTTTCTAAGATTTCTGCTTGTGCTTTTATATTTGCTCTTTGATTTTTATCTGTTGGGATTCAAAGTGCAGGTTCGAGTTGTTTTGTATGGCTTGGGGTAAATCCTTCAGTGATAATATTAGACGCTCAACTTGTAAGAGAAATCCTGATCAAGACTGATATCTTCAAGAAACCTCATCCTCATCCACTTGGGAAATTGCTGGCAAAAGGGCTAATACTCTCCGAGGGAGATAAATGGGCGAAACATCGAAAGATTCTCAATCCTGCTTTCCATTTGCAGAAGCTGAAGGTATCACTTGATTCTGCTCTATACTTGGATTTCAGTACTTTAAAATTTGATTTGAGACACAGAACTTTATATGTATGAAACAACACTGACAAGGTTTTGTCCTTTTTTTCTCCCTCATTTCTTGATTAACCACTGGAAGCATATGGTACCAGCTTTTCATTCGAGTACAAGCGAGATGTTGAGCAAGTGGGAATCAAAAGTTTTAGGAAGAACATCATGTGAATTGGATGTTTGGCCTTATCTTCAAACATTAAGTGGAGATTCCATTTCTCGTACTGCATTTGGTAGCAACTATGAGGAAGGAAGAAGAATATTTGAGCTCCAATTAGAACAGGCAAGATATGCTGCCAAGGCCATGAGATCAGTTTACCTCCCCGGGTGGAGGTACGCCGCTGGCTTTATGTGTCATTGTCTATGAAATATTTTTTAGCAGACAGATCCATACATGCATTGATGATCTGATTTAGTGGTTTTACGTCCAACATTTTTCATTTGTATCTCCAGGTTCTTGCCAACAAAGAGAAATAAAAGAATGAAGGAGATTGAGAATGAAATTCGAACAAGAATTAGAGACATTATTGACAAACGAGTGAAGGCGATGAAGGCTGGAAAAACCAGCAATGAGGATCTTTTGGAAATCCTGTTGCAGTCTAATTTCAAAGAGATTGAACAACATGGCCACAAGAGATTTGGAATGAGCTTTGAAGATGTAATTGATGAGTGCAAGCTCTTCTATTTCGCCGGGCAAGAAAGCACTTCAACAATGCTTGTATGGACATTGATTCTGCTCAGTGAGCATCAAGACTGGCAATCAAAAGCTCGAGAAGAGATTCTGCAAGTTTTCGGGAGAAGAAACAAGCCGGATTTTGATGGGCTTCATCACCTCAAAGTGGTACGTACCAGTTTTTTTCAGGTTTTATTTTAATGATGTCTCCTGGATTCCTGTTTTCCTATTAATTTTTGAAATGCAGAGTTTTACATTTCATTTTTGACAGGTGACTATGATCTTGAATGAGGTTCTAAGATTGTATCCACCGGCAGTTGCTCTCAACCGAAGAGTCACCAAAAATATTAGAGTAGGAAAGTTCGAATTGCCAGCTGGGGTGATGGTATGGTTACCTATCATCTTGCTGCATCATGATAGCGGAATATGGGGTGAAGATGCAAAACAATTCCAGCCAGAGAGATTTGCGAAAGGGCCTTCAAGAGCGATCAAGGGCCGGACTCCATTTTTCCCATTTGGTTGGGGACCTAGGAACTGTATCGGGCAGCATTTTGCTTTGTTAGAGGCCAAACTAGCCCTGTCAATGATGCTTCAACGATTTTCGTTTGAGCTTTCCCCATCATATGTTCATGCTCCGCACATAATTACAACCCTCCAACCTCAATATGGTGCTCGACTTGTCATCCACAGATTGTAGCTTGCTGCGGGTCTTTCACTACTTATTCATCTTTTATTTGGTTCCATGAAAAGGCAATGTTTTTTTTATTTGTATTTTAGAAATATTTGCTGAACAACTTAGAGACTGCTTTAATGATTAAAGAACAGCAGGCAAAATGTGTGTGTAAAGAACCTTAAAAAACAGGGAAAGAAAAGAATAAGAACAACATTTTTTGATTATTCAACGTAGCATACGCTACATTAAGTAAAATTTCAGTTGGAACACCAGAATGATAGTGTAGATGTATTCTTCCAGAGTGAAGATTCCAATACTTAAATAGTTTGGATAGAAACTTTTGGCATCCTATAACTTATGCAAAACTAAGTGAGCACCATGTTGAGGTTGCAGTGTGACAATGGTGTAAGGAGCATGAGCGTATGATGGAGAAAGATCAAAAGAGTATCGTTGAAGAATCATCGCCATGACCAATTTGGCTTCCATCATAGCAAAGTTCTGTCCAATACATATTCGAGGTCCCCAGCCAAATGGCAAGAATGAAACTTGACCCTTTGTTGCACTAGAGACTCCTTCACTAAATCTCTCAGGTTTGAACTCTTTTGCATCATCACCCCAGAGGTTTGGGTCGCGGTGAAGTAGCATAACTGGCACGGCTACTAAAACCCCTTCTGGCAACAATAAATTTCCGATTTTAGTTTCTTGTTGAACTTTCCGTTCCATGGAAGCCAGAGGACTGTAAAGTCTTAGAACCTCATTGAAAATCATTGTCAGCTGCAAAAAGAAATGCCTCGTGTGTTACAGGGATAACTATAAAGCTCCAGAAATAATAGAATCTTAAATTAACTGTGCCAAAAGAAGTAAATTTCATGGCACGTCACAGTTATAACTATAAAGCTCCAGATATAATGGTATCTTAAATTAACTGTGCCAAAAGGAGTAAATTTCATGGCATGTCAGAACTTACAATTTTAAGGTGATTAAGACCTTCAAAATTTGGGTCATTTCTTCCAAACACTTGAAACACTTCTTCTCTAGCCCGCAATTGCCACTCTTGATGCCGGCTAAGTAAAACTAGCGTCCATACAAGCAATGATGAAGTGGTCTCCTGCCCAGCAAAATAAAAGAGTTTGCATTCTTCAATAACATCTTCGATACTCATGCCGAAACTTTTGTCACCTCGCAATTCAATCTCCTGTAAATTAGATTTCAAAAGTATGTTCAACAAGTCATCATTAGTGGCCTCCCCTGCTTTCATTGCTTTCACTCTCTTATCGATCATTTCTCCAACTGTAGCATAAACTTCCCTTTGGATACCCTTTATCCTTCTCATCCTCTTAGTTGGCAAAAAGCTGTACCTCACGAATTAGAATATGAACTCCTTTAATTTCATGACCAAGCCAAAAATAAAAGGAATTAGTTTACCTTGATCCAGGGAAATAAAATGATCTCACTGCTTTCATAACAAGATCAGCCTGTTCTGTTTGAAGTTCAAACATTTTTCTCCCCTTTTCATGATTGCTACCAAATGCTGTACGGGAAATTGCATCGGTCGTTAAAGTTTGAAGATCTGGCCACACATCACGTTCGCAGGATCCGTTCTGTGTAACACTTTCTTCCCATTTGCTCAACATGTCACTGGCACATAAATGAAAAGCTGGGAGCATAAGCTGTTCATGGGAACCAAGAAGAACTAGACCTGATTAGTTCTAGAGTTAACATAAAAGAGATAACATCAGCATACAAATATTCCTTTGTAGGCATTAAAATACTCTAACTCCTACACATTTTCCACCCCCAGTACATTGAAGATCTGAACCTAAAGAAATGGAATGAGATTTTATTGAATGGAAGGTAAAATGAAACCTTCAGCTTCTCTTGATGGAAAGCAGGGTTGATTAATTTGCGATGTTTTGCCCATTTATCGCCCTCAGTTGCTACTAGTCCTTGTAACAGGTATTTGCCAAGCGGATGAAAAAAGTTTTTTCCATAGAGGGTATACTTCTGAAAGATCTCCCTCACATGTTCAGGGTCTAAGATGATGACAGCAGGATTGGGACCAAACCACATAAAGCAATTCTTACCTGAAATTCATACATGTAAATAACATCAATAAATTCAAAGGGAACTACTCGAAAATAATGCATCACATACAGAAAGTAAATAACTTGCAGAATATGAATAATCATATCATACCATACTTCTTGATGTTTTTTACTAACAAAGGCAAAACACGAGGCACGATATCATCAGAAAGGTTGATCGGTTTGGACACGGCTTCTTCAATCATCATAACCAATTCCTTGAAATCTCCATACAACAATTTGTAGGAATTCCCTTGAAGGCCTTGTGCTCTGAGACACTTCTCCAGCTTCTTTGGCCTCAACCATATCGAATTCAGCATCCGCCATGCCAAGTATAGAAGAGCAAGTAGCACACATGAAATGAGCAGTATCAGAATACTCATGGTTTTCCTCTGGTGAATTTCAATCCTAGTAATAATGGCTCTCAACCGGGTTATAGTTCTAAGGAAAGGAACGGTTCTCAAGTTTGAAAAGTCCACATGGAATGAACTTGTTAATGTAAGATGGAAGTATTTGAGCGTGTAAGGCAAAGTGATGGTGACCTTTTTATACTTGGTCTTTCTAGTTTTTAGCTCAGTAGTGTGAAATGATGTCTTCTTGCTGTTGTGATCATCTGAAATTCCAACAAATGCGATAAAAACTAAGTCACTAAATTTCAGAATGATTACTGATAAACCAAGTTTTTGCTGCATCAGTAAGAATCCAATGCACATACGATTTCTGTTTGATATAGAAAACACTTATATGGGTTCCGTATTATCAAATACTACTAAATAGCAATGAGTAGGACCAGTCAGAGCTTTGATCATTCAGTAATTCTACGCCAAAATGCCGCTTCAATCACTGAGCAATCAATCTTGAAACCACCAGAACCAATAATCTCATCGCCAATCTCTCCACGGCGTTCACCAATTTTTCTCCCATCCATCATGGTTATCCACGATAACCAGTTTGTTCTCCAATTCTTCACAATTTTCATCATCAGTATTGCATAAGTATTTTGAGAAACTATCTTCATCTATTCTAACTCGAGAACTTTTCAGGACCCCCTCCCTGACATGCTCAGATTCAGTATGCCTGCACCAAGAAGGCAATAAGTTTAGACTGTCACACTGGACACTGATACCCCAGAAAACATGAAATATAACTAAGCATTACAGATACAAGACCACCCAGCTCTTAACTTTTTCCACGACAGAAAATACATCAAATAGAACCTTTAGATTTTGTTCAACAAAAGCATAATTGTAATAGCGTATGCATCCAGAATTACCTACAGCAGTTCAGGCTTCAAGACCACAAAGCATGACCTAGGGGAGACAAATTTAATAGCTAAAAGATCAAGCGAAGTAGAACATTTGTTCATAAATCATCTTTCAGGAGATGTCGTAATGTACTCAATAGTCAATTTAGTAAGATATTAAACCTGTAAAAGATGATGGTGAGGCACGACCTATTTAATCGAATCCATCTAGTTGTAAAGGTTTAATTGTTCCTAGCAGTTAAAAATCGGTCGAAATCCCAAAACTATCTCCTTCCATTTAGCATAATCTGACTTCTATAATCCCTAACGGTTACATATAGATGTTAATATATAAAAGTAAACGGTAGAAGAAGTTAAACATCATTTAAAACATTACTTTAATAACAAATACATGTTTTTATAAAGAAGCTATCATTGATGACAAACCAACTTGTACGAAAAACCAAGTTGTAAAAGGCAAAACATTAAAGTACAACACTTCCCAGTCCAAGTCCATTTCGAAATTTATCCTCGTTTTAATAAATGGAATCAAAAGGAATGGAAACATGCAGATCAGATCATCTAGCAGTCCAGCAGTTCATTTATCTCACAGTTCAAGTAGGGACAATGAAGTCTGACAAAACATAAAGACAAAGGGACAACGAAGGCGACACATAAAAGCAAAGGGGATGCAGATATGCAGATCAATCATCCAGCAGTTCAGCAGTTCATTGTCCACACGGTTTAAGTGAGGACAATGAAGTCAGATGACATGTAAAATTAATGAATGTACAATAGACATAGATATGATAATAATATCAAATTTGTCGCTTCCCAAGTTTCATTTCTTTTTTTTTTTTTTGTCCTCTCGTATTTTGTGGAGGCTCCAGCAAACCATTAATTGGACTCGAGAGAGAAAACAAAGGATACGTATATATCACTTATTCTAATATGCATGGAAATGCATATGCTTCAACGAGGTGACCAATATAAGAAAGGATAATCTTGCCTAGTAGTGGTTCTGCTCCCATCAGAACACCTCGCTTCTTTTTTTCCATCTTGAGAGGCAGCAAAATCTGTTGTGGAATTTGCACTTTCAACATCAAGTAAAACCAAGCTCTCAACGTAACTTTCCAAGTGAAATGCATCTGTGGAGCCTCGAAGTCCAAGATTCTTCACCCTGAGGGTGATGGGATCATAAGAAAGCAACTTCCCACGGACAGTAGCACCAAGAATTTGACTTTCACTCAGAAAACCAACCAGCTGTCGCAACCCTCCCCTCAGATCAATGCTATAAAGTTTCATCCATGACTGAACGACTCCATAGTCTTGCATAACCCATACGCAACAACTACGCGCATGCACGCTACAGTTATTTTGCAACAATGCCAGCTTACCTCTAATAACTCTCAGATGTAAATCCCAACCAGATTGCTCTAAACAATCAGGTATCCCCACCTCACGGAAAACCTCATCACTCATGTCAAAAGATACAATCAACGCACATTTCTCATTGCCCCTATCCACACAGGGATCATATCCAACCCAATGCACAGCTCCATTTACAAACACCTGCGACCAAGTACCACCATAAATCCCATAAGGAGGAGCACCGGTCTTAAAACTCCTCCAAGACCTATAACTAAGCCTATACAATTCCACTTCAGGGGGGATCAAATCGCGCCCATTTCGACCCTTAATATACGCTATCCTAACCACCTTATAATCGTTGCTCTTCTCATCATAACCAAATCCAAGGACATACATATAGGAACCATAAATCCTTTGAGTAACCCGTGGTTGAGGCAAATTCAAGAACCTTCTAATCAAAGGGTTCCACAAAATAATCCCAGAATCATCAAAATCATAGTCATCGCTCAAGCACACTAATCCATTACAAGAACCCACAATCCTAAATTGGCTATTATAACTAGTTCTTAATGGAAAGTTTAATTCTTTACAACTGGGATCATCAATAATTGACTCCTTGCTATCATTAAAACAGTCACTCAAGAGTAAGTAACGTTCCTTAGTGTGCCTTTTCTCATTGAAATATCGGAGCAAAAGGGAACAAGAAGACGATTGTTGCTGGGTTTTTTTGACATGGGCTGAAATGAAAGTGGGGCTGGAAATAACCGAATTGAAAAGCTTACACACTGACCTTATTTGGAGAAGGGTTTTAATCGGAAGCATGTTGAAGATTTCAAACCACACTTCGAATGGAAGATTGTTTGACATCTTCAGCTCTTTGCGGGTCTCAACAGATGACGCAGTATGTATGGCTTCTTGGCTTTCTGTTGGGTTACATTTAAATCAAAGTGGAAGGCCGGAAGGGAAAGGCTGCTTAATTGCGGCCGAGTAGGACAGCATAAGAATCCAACATTTTGCTTCAGATGATGGGGATGATTTTGTATTTTTGAGGGCTGTTTTTCATTATTTAAAGTAGAATTTCACAATATTCTTTTTGTATTAGCTCAAAACAGGCTTACAGCAGCCTTGCCAAATAGTGACGTTTCTTTGTTAAAGGTTCATTTTGTTGGATAAAAGATTTTTTTTAAAAAAAAAATGATAGGGGAAAAAGGAAACTAGTATTTGTAAGGGATAAAAAATGTGTCTATTATCTATAGTCTTCTCATCCCCTTTAATTAGTCTTGCGTCAGGAAAGGAAGTCAAATTACAAAGATACTATAAACTGGAAACTATTTTTGCATATACAAATACAACAATCAACAATGATGAAAGATGGCCAAGTTGAATAACTAACTTATGACATCATTAATAGATGAATTGAGATGGAGGGATATTGAACTATCTTGGTCCTGACAATGATGAAGGCGACATTGTAGTTGAACCACCTTGAGCAAATCCACCCCTTGGATCACCAGCTGCCATTCTTGAAACTACTGTTGGATTCAGGAAGTCGTAGCTAAGATTGGTTTCAGCAGCAACTAATCCCTCTAGTACCTTAACTACTAAGGACATTGAAGGCCTTTTGGTGAAATCACCCTGCAAACACCATGCTGCAATCTTCATCATCTTCACAACCTCTTCAATGTTATCATGCATGTCTTCGCTTCTCTGATCCACCAATTCCTCGAGTTTTCCATCTTCGGCTTTTCCCTTGAAGACTGCTAGCAAGTGTCTGTCTTCCTCACTCCTAGACCAATCCACATTCTTCCTCCCACAAATGATCTCTAGCATTACTACACCGAAGCTGTAAACATCCACCTTTTCGGTGATTGCAGAACTCAGCCATTCAGGAGCCAAATATCCCGGTGTTCCTCTCATCGTAGTGATGACTCTGCTTTGATCCTTTTCGATCAGCTTGGAGAGCCCAAAATCTGAAATTTTGGCATTGAATTGTTGGTCAAGGAGGATGTTTTGTGGTTTGATGTCCAAGTGAATTATTTTCTGACTACATTCTTCGTGAAGGTAGCCTAATCCTTTTGCTACATCTTTGATGATGTTCTTCCTCGTTTTCCATGGAAGACAATGGTTTTCTTGTTTTCCAGGAAAGATCCATCCGTCCAGGGATTTGTTGGCCATGTATTCATAAACAAGAAGCCTGTGTGATTTCTCAAAACAAAATCCAATTAGTTTCGCCAAATTAACATGGTCAATTCTGCCAATTGCCTTTACTTCAACAAGAAAAGAATCCTTCACTTTTGCTACACCATCGAGACACTTGACTGCTACTTTTGTTCCATCGGTTAGTGTCCCTGCATAAACAGATCCAAAGCCTCCTTCCCCCAGTTTATCAGCAAAATCCTGAGTTGTGCCTTTCAAGTTCGTGTAAGAGAATCTTGTAGGCATTCCTGGTACATGGTCTAGAAAATTATCATCCATGTTCTTGTGTCGTTTCCTCAAAAAAACAAGGCAAGAACCAATCACACAGAAAACTCCGAGGATAGCTGAAATGACAGATGCCAATATAGTTACTCTATGCCTCGAAGCCTTTGCATTAGGGTGTTGCGCAGTAGGACTTTTCACGTTCACATAGGGACCTTGTACCTTAACATAAAGAGTAGTGTTGTACGGTGGTGCCACTGAATTTTCATTGTCAGCAATAGAAAAGACTTCATCAACTAACAAACAACTGCCTTTTCTTGATCCATTGCTCTTAGGATCTTTAACAAAAAGAGCTGCTTTGCAAGAGCAATTTCTCAGACAAAGTTTTTTGCAGTCCTCCACTAATGTATTCTCTTGGTATGACTGGAATGCAAAGTAATATGTGTTTTCCAGCTGAACAAGACTATGAGATTCGGGGTGATCACAAGAAATTGGTCTGACTAATGAACATCCAAGATTTGGTTGCCGAGAATTCGTTTGTCTGAAAAAGTCCCGCTGAGCACTTGTCTTTTTGGGACAACCACATTGCCCCAAACCTGAACAGATACCATACTCCCCGCAAACCAGAGGTTGGCCGCAAGGTGAATTGAAGTCTAAGATATCCTCAACACCTGTCATACCATTACCTTGCTGAAATAACATCAAGTCCCCTTCAGGCCCCAACTTCATGAATTGAGCTTCCGCTGATGCTGAAGCAGCATAACCGATGCTCTGAAAGCTTGCGTTGTTGATGTAGTAGAAGCTTGAAGAATCTGATGCGAGTCGATCAAAACTAGAAAAGAGATACCTTTGAGGTGGATTGGAGTTTACATAAGCGCCCAGCCCCGAACTATCTACAGAAATATATAACAAACCTTCGCTCCAATTCGAGGCTGAAACGCTGGCTGTCAGCCTCTGACCTGATTTCAAACTCTGCCCTGGAAGCAAGCAATCAGTTGGATGATCAAAAGATTGCCAAATGGTCTCATTGTTTCGGCCAAAGAGCACTAGATTTCCATCTACGGTCAAGTTCATCCCGGCAACGGACTTCCCAGCTGTTTGGCTAGACCATACCAGGGTACCGTCTGAATTGGCCACGATCAGGTCTCCATCTTGGGTGAGCTGCAATGTTGCATTGACTTGAACAGGATGGTTCCTGTTAGCTGACCATACTAGTTGTGGGTAACGGATGAAAGGGTTGGGTCCATTTGTAAAGATGACTCCGAAAACGCAGTCTTTAGAATCACTAATATTGCCGATATAATTACAGTAGAACCCACAGAAAAATGCTGGGTAATCATGTCCTCTCATTAGGATTGGGCTGAATGTATGATCTGAGTCATTGGCAAAAATCGAAGGAGAATTAATCCATGAAGTAGAAAGTTTCGCCGTCGAATTGTAAGGTTGTTGGGCGTTTATCAAGGTAGAAGAGCACAGAAACAATGCAGCCAGAAGAAGAACAAGGACATGATAGTATATTTTTGGCCCCGTCGACGAAATCATGTCGCTTGATACCATCAGTGGATGTTCTGGGCCTCTGAGATTGATGTATCAGTTCCTTCCAGAAGGAAACAGAAAAGAAAAGGAAAAAACAAAAAAAAAGAAGAAAAGAAAAAAGGCACACATGTTTTTTTTTTTTTTACTCAAATCGGAATTAGTGCATTTTAGTCTTCGTTTACTTTGACAATGTAGCACCTTTAATGATGTCGTTAATGGCCATTTACTCCCTCTATTTCAAAATGTAGGTCACTTTAGACTCTAAATATAAACTAAGAAGACAATCATTTAATAATTAATTTTTGTGTTAAATTTCTATTTTATCCATCATTAATTATTTTTGAATTAAAATCAATATTAGATGAAAAGTGGTTAGCATTATTTATTAGGACAAAATTGATAAATTAGTCTTTAATTTGTCTAGAAATTCTAAAATGACCTAAATTTTTTAAATATTTCTCCAAGCCTAAAACGATCTACATTTTAAAATGGAGTACTCCCTCCATTCCAAAATAAGTGTCGTTTTGCCAAAATGGAGAAATTCCAAAATAAGTGTCGTTTTCAGATTTCAATGTATTTTTTGTCAAAAATTTCCAAACATGTCCTCAAAAGAAATAATATTACTGGGGAACATTTATTTTAATGGGGTTGGTTGAGGATATTCTAGTAATTTAATTACTTTATTTAATGTTTTTTTAAACTATGTGCAAACTTTAAAATGACACTTATTTTGGAATGGAGGGAGTATTACTTTTCCACATTTTCCTAGCTTCAAAGAATTTTTTATTCCTTGTCATCAAATCATATTAATTTAGGCTTCTTTTCTTTTTTTCAATAAAAGTTAAAGTTGAACTGACATCCCTCAGCAGTGGAGTAAGCGCGCCTACTTGACTTCAAAATGTCTTTTTTTTTTTTACAAAGAAGGAGGTTATGACATGACAAACTTAAATTAAAACATTTAACGAATGGGAGACGCCGATTACATTGTGCTCTAACTATGATTTTACACCAGAAGGCGGGTTATCCACCCAATGCAAATGTACCGGGTAACTATTTGCTAAATATGCCAAATAATTTACTGCAAAATTCGACTACCTAAAAATATAATTAATTCGTAGAGTCCAATTTTGACTAGCCAAATCACAAATAGCTTGAACCAAGCTCCCATGAGTGCCAATGAAATCCGTATTCTCAATCATTTTCACCACACAAAAACTGTCCACTTCTACTATTAAAAAGTCTTTGATATCACTTATCGTTTTTTTAGTGTGCGTTTTTTATAATTTTTCTATTGGAAATATAAAAAATTATATTAAAAATGTAAAAAACATATAATAGGATGAGACAGTTATTAAAAAATTCTTAAAAAAATCCTGTAAAAAATGAAATAAATAGAGCTATTGTATGTTTTATATATAAATAGTACAATATACAACTAACTAGGCAAATATTCTGATGTAGAATGAATCTAAAAAGTACAAGGTTAAAACTCCAACCTTCGTCTTCCAAAATGACATTGTTAAAATTTCAAGTGAGGGAGACTTTTAGTCTGTTTTATATATGTGTCTATTCTATAAATATCGTTCGAGGAAACTTGTATTTCTCATTCACAAATCCATGTTGCCAAACAAGAAAGTATTATAGAAGACCATGGAGTTTTACGTCAAAACCAATTTATTATGAGTGGAGTATCTAAGATAGTTTATATATTAATACAAATGTCCAACGAGATTGAACTAAAATCGCTAGATACACTGTTGGATCAGGAAAATAACCGCGGGATAATATTATGGACCGCGGAATAAGATGACTGACTAAAATTTATTACAGGTTGAGCTTGTTCTGATATCATATAGAACAGGGATGGACTTGGGGGAGGGGGGTCGGTCAACCCTGCGGTCGGCAAATTTTTT